GACCTCGGTGGGCACTTGCAATAACGGCCGTCCATTCCATGTAAACCATCTTTGCCATCCTCTCCAGGTATTCCATCCATTCCTCTCCTTCCCGGTCTACCAGGTAATCCGGGAAGACCGGGTGTACCAGGTTTCCCGTCTTCGCCATTAACTCCTGGTGATCCAGGTTCTCCAACGGGTCCTTTTGGGCCTTGCTCACCTTTCGGTCCAGGTTCACCTGGCAAATACTTTAGACCTTGTTTTCCCGCAATTCCTTGAGGACCTTGGTGTCCAGGATGCCCTGCTGGTCCTTGTTCTCCTTCTGGTCCTTCTGGTCCGGTAACACCATCATCACCGGGTGGACCACGCAAGCCCGGATTACCAGGCAATCCTGGAGGTCCACGATGGCCTTGCCGACCTGGCACACCAGGTGGTCCCTTTGGACATTTAATGCAACCAGAAGATGTGCCAGCATTAAAACTAAAGTTTTAGATACAATTGACGATTTATAATCTAACTCTGCAATTATCAAGTTTTTAGCGCAGGTTGATAGTATTCTCAGCATAACCCACATGAACCTGCCACCAGATGGTCCATCAGGGCCATTAGTTCCATTTAATCCATCTAGTCCGGGTCTGCCTCGAGGGCCTTTTTTCCCAGGAGGTCCAGGTGGACATTTCACCGCCTTCAGCGCACATTCTGAAATAACTAAGCGAGTACCATAGACAAGATGAAGGTATCTTTCTTTGCTTGAAATCTCACCACATTTAGTCGGGACTCTCTTTATTCTGACGAATAAGTTGGCAACACTTTGGCGTGGTTTAACCACAGAAGAAACAATCAACTGCTCTTCCATAAGATTCAGCCATGTGTCGTCAGTCACTGCCTATATCAGTTTTGATCATGAAGTTATCTTGCATAAACTGTCATGAACAGTAACGCTTCACCCCATGAGATCGCGTGTAGCAGCTATTTTTACCGCACACATTGTTTAATACGATTTCCCCTTTCTATGTGTCACTTCTCTTTTTGGAGACATTGCTTTATTATTGCAAGAAAATGTTCTGATTAAGTCAAAATTTCAAGATTTAGCAATTTTATTTGGTGTCAAAATGAAGCCTTGGCAACAGCTGCACCTGCGAATATGATAACAGCATTTGGTAGAAATTTAGTTACCGCTACAACGCAAATTAATGTCGGGAAGCTGAGGACGTAGTTAAGTCAGTGGAAAGTAAACCCGAAAGCTACGTAGTGCGATGCAAGAATGCTATTTTGCACCACTAAATGAAGATCCGTAGGAGACGATGCTCATTAACACAATGTTTAGAAGTTTGTTACGACACAATTGATACCTTGATAACTCTGAATGTTTAAAGAAAGCTAAATAATGCATTCCTCATAAATAGACTGAGCAGAAAAGCTGGCTTTTCAGGATTCGGGTAGAACCTTACCTGCGGTAAAGTGAATATTTTGCGACACCTCATTGATACATATAGGATTCCTCAACCCAAGTTCGAGCATGTTGCTCTTCAAAATGAGGAAAGGTGAGTATAGTGTAGCGGTCTAGTGAGGACTTTATGTCTTACATTTCACAATAGTAATAGCAAGAACATGAGATTGAAACACACCAAAAAACAGCAGGATTGGAGATGAGGGGTCGATGATTTTCTATTATCATAAGACTGTATGTTTTGCAAGTTATACGCAAAAAATGCTCGAGATATAAAGTTCTAACTCATTCATCAAAGTCATTTGATTTATCGCCTCAATAGGAAGGTGTCGAAAAGAATTTCGAAAATTCCTGTTTTTTTATAGATTTACGTTTTCTTGCTTCTGATATAGTGAGGCTAGCCCTCATTGGCAAAAACGATATAAACAGCAAAGAACATTTCTGCTAGTTTCTTTTTGAGCAAAGTTAATTCACACAAAGTTAAAGTCGCAAAAAGGACATCTCATGCTGGAAAACGTAATAAATGAGGTTATAACAAAATTGCTTTGAATTAAGCTGCATACCCTGAATTCCATCATGCCCTCTTCAATGTTTTCGCGAAGTCCATTTATGTCATTCACGATGACTGCTATGTAAATAAAGCATCCAATTGTAGCACAGATGAT